CTCCTCCGCCCCGTCGCCCGAGGGCCCGCCGTCCGCCGCCCCGCCCGCCCCGACGCGCGGGCTCACCGCCGAACGCCTGCGCCGTCTGCTGCGCATCACCATGCGCCTGTCCATCCCCTTCTTCCGTCGCGACCGCTCCGCTAAGTGGCACGCCCTGGCCTGCGCGTCGCTGTCCGTGCTCGGATCGGCCCTGGGCGCCGTCTTCACCGTCGTCATCGGTAACCTCTTCACCGCATTGAACGAGCGCAATGTCGCCGCGTTTTGGGATGGCAACATCTATGTCTTTGCTTTGTGCGTCATCCTATTCCCGCTGGCAGCGTGTACCAGCTTTACCCGCGCGACGTTTGTCCTCAGGTGGCAGCAGTTTCTCACGAAGAGTGGCCTGCGCATGTATTTTGGGGGGAGCAACTATTACAAGCTTAATGGGGCGCAGAAAAGGGAAGGCGAGGTTGGGACAGAGGACGGCCTGGACAACCCCGATGAGGTTATTGACCAGCAGTTTGCGGAATTTGCGAGTAGCATGGTGGACTTTACGTTAACCAACCTGAAAACAGTGGTGGATGTCGTGCTCTACTCGGTGATTTTGCTGCGGATCTTCCCGCCAATGTATTTTGTGATTGTGGTGATCGTGGCGGTGGGCATGCTGCTTGTGAACCGAATAGGAAAGAAACTTTTTGACCTCCAGGCACTGCTTTTGCGGAGGACAGCGGTACGTGAGCAAGCGAACGAGCGTTGGTGTTGTCACGAGCGCATGCGGTGAGCGCATGAGCGAAAAGCGATGAGAAAAGTGTGTCCTCCTAACTGTGTCCCAATCGGCGTGTCGCGCAACGTGACAGGACTTTCGGTTTGCGCTGGCGCGAGTGCGCATGCACGCCGAAGCGATTGCTTTTTACAACGGCAGCGAGGCCGAGCGGGCGATAAGCGAGGGCAAGCTTGACGGGCGGGCACACGCGCAGCTCGCGTTGAGCAAGACGCAGTTTCCGATGAACCTGTTCATCAACAGTTTCTATTTTCTGCCGATCGTGCTGCCGCTGCTCATTCTCGGGCCGTTGTACTTTGCAGGTCGCATCCAGCTCGGCGAGCTGACGAAAGCGGAAGCAGCGTTTTCCGTGCTGTTTAACAACTTGTCGTTATTCATCGGGGACTATGACCAGTAAGTTTGTTCGTCTGTTTGTTTTGTTTCTCTTGTGGGCGCTGGGGCGAATGTAGGTCTGGGGGGACGGGGGCGTATTTCTAACGAATTGTTGTGGTTGGTGACATGTACAGATACTCATGGCTTGGGGCGTCGATCGAGCGTCTCTCTGGGTTTATTATCAAACTGGAAGGGAATCTAGACAATTCGTCGCACGACTTCAAGCTGTGGGAAAACGAAAGCGAAAGCGCAAGCGCAAGCGCTAGCGAGAGCGCAGGCGAAATGAAAGGGGCAAGGGAAGTGGAAAGCGAGGGGGCGAGGGCGTCAACGCGCGGGAACGGAAACGGGGTGGCAAGCAGCGGTGCGGGGGCGGGGGCGTGGTCGGGGCGGATCCACACGATCGAGGACGCGACGACGAGCGGGATCTCCGTGCGCAATCTGTCCGTGTACACGCCGTGCGGGACGCGGCGGCTGATCCACGACCTGTCCGTGGAGATCCGGGGCGGGGAGCGGGTGCTAATCGTGGGGCGCAGCGGGAGCGGCAAGACGAGCCTGCTGCGGTGCCTGGCCGGTCTGTGGTCGCACGGGACCGGGACGATCGTGCGGCCAGCGCGCGCGCGGATGATATTCCTGCCGCAGCACGCGTACTCGCCGGCCGGGTCGCTGCGCGAGCAGCTATGGTACCCGGGTCGCGGGGCCGCGGGCGCATCCCCCCGCGCGCTGGAGGCGGCGCTGACGCGGGTCGGGCTCGGCGAGCTGCAAGCGGCGCTGGGCGACGACTCTGCGTGGGAGCGCGCGCTCTCCGCGGGCGAGATGCAGCGGCTCGCGGCCGCGCGCGCCGTCGTGCGAGAAGCGGCCGTCGTCGTCGTGGACGAGGGCACCGCGGGGCTAGACAGGGACGGAGAGCGCGTCGTCATGCAGGCGCTCCGCGATATCGGCTGCGCAGTCGTTAGCGTCGGACACCGTAAGAGCTTGGTGCAAGACCACGACACCGTCGTCGTCGTCGGCGACGGAGGCGAAGTGCGCGTCGTGCCCGCGTGCGAGTTCGAGATGGAGAAGGAGGGCATGTGCTGACGGGGGCGGGCGGTGTTTTGTACGGCGCGACGTCTATTTTTACCTATTTTTACTAGAATAATGATGAGCAAACGAGCGAAGGCTGTGCACGCGCGTTCACAGCCTTCGGTTGTTTTCGAGCCTGTTTTCTGTGATTGCATGAACGCCGATGGCCCCTCCCCTCCCTCCTCGAGTCTTGTGTGAGTCTCGCGCCCTATTGGCTACAGTATTTGTTATCGTAGGTCTGAGACTTAACTTGTCTCTGGATGGAACCACATCTTCACGCCTTGCTCGAGGAAACTATCCAAAGTACTGTACCACTGTACTGTGGGTACAGCATTGCATTACTCATTCTATTGCAGCAGTATCGACCGCAGCGCAACAAGTATTCTCGAAATTGACACGGAAACAAGCCGCTTTAGATGTTGGCGAAACCTGCAAGCGAAAAGTCTGATTTAGGAAATGGGGTGAAAGCGGCAGGACATGCAAAACGGCAGGACATGCAAACGGCAGGACATGCAAACGGCAGGACCTGAAAAACAGCAGGCCAGGAAAACAGCCGGGATAGGACGGAAAGTCATGCATGCGCGGCGGCCTGCCTGTGTCGACCGATTCCGCCATTCCCCCGCCCGCATCCTGCGCCTGAACCCGCTGCGCCTGAACCCGCTGCGCCTGTCCCCGTCCCCGTCCCCGCATCATCGCCTGCGTCCCACTCGAGCTCGCGGCGCCATCTCCTCGATCTGCGCGCCGCGTCGCGCGCGCCCCGCTCGCGCCACGCGTCCCGCCTTGCCTCCGCCGCCACTCGCCGCGCGCCACGTGTGCCCGCTCCCCCCGTTCCCGCGCCAGTGCTCCTCGCGATCCGCTGTCCCCCGCCCTGCATCCCCCCAAAGGGCTAACCGAGGATTAAAGGCCCTCATTCCACCTCGCCCGGCAACCCTCCCCCCCCGCACCTCCCCGCCTCCCCTGCCTGCCAAACACCATGTCCGCCCTCCTCCGCGCCGCGCGCGCCCCCCCGTCGCTCCGCGCCCGCGCGCTCGCCGTGCTCCCGCGCTTCCTCTCCGCCGCCTCATGTACGTGCTCCCGCCCCGCAACACCTCCCCCGCAGACGCAGCCACAGCCCCGCTAACACCGCCCGTGCGCGCCCGCCGCAGACCCCTCCGACCGCAAGTACAAGGCGTCGCACGAGTGGGCCAAGCTGGATGGCGACGTCGCCACCGTCGGCATCACGGACCACGCACAGGCCGCCCTGGGCGACATCGTCTTCGCAGACCTGCCCGAGGTCGGCTCCGAGGCCAGCGCCGGCGAGCGCGCCGCCACCGTCGAGTCCGTAAAGGCCGCCGCTGACATCTACGCCCCGCTCTCCGGAGAGGTCGTCGGCGTTAACGATAGCCTCGACGATAGCCCCGACCTCATCAATAAGACCCCCCACGACGACGGATGGATCTTCCGCATCAAGGTTAACGACCCCGCCCAGATCGACGCCCTCATGGACTCTGCCGACTATGAGAAGACCATCGCTGAGGAGGCCGAGTAGCACTCGGGAGGAGCATGTTCCCCGCGCTTGCTTGCCCGAGTTTGTGTAAACTTGCCCCGCTTTCTGTACCTCGCCCTTGTCTTCTTGCCCCAACAACCCGGTGCATTGCCCGCCGCCGTGTGCTCGCCTTGTAGCCCCCACGTCCTGCCTCTTGCGCTTGTCCGCCGCATGTAGCTACCGTGTACTTCTGCATGCGCCACCCCCGCCCGCTTGTTTTACACGTGTTTAAACCATTTCGTTTTATTCATCCTCCCATCACCATCATCACGCCAGTCATCGCACACCCCCCACTACTTGCGACCATCCTTTACGTTTCTAAATCGCTGCTCCAACGCGTCGTCGTTCAAAAACGCCGGCGCGGCCGGCGGCGGCGGCGCCGCGGCCCCAGGCCCGCCGTACTCGCCGCCGGGCCCCGCCGGTGGCGGATAGAACGTTCCTGCCGCCCCGCTGGACGGGTCGAACGGCGGCGGCGCGGTTGGCGCCGGCCCGGACGGCCCCATCCCGGGAATCCCGTACCCCGCTCCGGGGTACGGGTTGTGCCCTGGGATATTCATCATGCCACCGCCGCCGCCGCCGCCGCTCGAGCCGCCGTAGTCGTCCGACGGCGGGGCCGACGGCGGGGCCGACGGCGGGTAGTTGGGCATGCCGGGCACAAAGTGCGGCTTTGGCAGCGGGCTGGGTCGGTAGTAGCCGTGGCCGCCGGACGGGTCCAGGTCGCCGTACTCGGGCGGCGGCATCCAGCTGATGTTGCCCTCCTTGGCGATCTTCTCCAGCTCCTGCAGCACGAGGTACCCGTCGGGCGCCCCGCCTTCTAGCGTGCGCGCCACCACCTTGTTGATGTGCTGCGTGTGCGGGCCCTCCAGCCGCGTCAGCGGGTCGATGACGGCGGCGCCAAAGTGGTTGCGGAACATGTTCTTAACGTTGCGCAGCTCGGGGATGTTGAGGCGCGACGAGGCGTACACAACGGATGCCACCGACTCCTTGATGTCGGTGGAGGCCGTGTCGAAGTCGCGCTGGTCGCTGAAGACGGTGTTCGAGTTGGCGAGCAGCTCGACAAAGGTCTCGACGACGTCAAAGGCCTCGACCTGCGTGCGCTCGCGGAGCACGCGCTCGCACTGGATGCGGGCGAGGGTCTCCTTGTTGGCGGAGAGATGAGTCTGGATGACGCGCTTGGTGGCGTCGATTTCGTTGTCCTTCTTGCCGTGCTGGATGGAGATGCGCTCCTTGGCCATCTTGAGCTGGATGCGGAAGGCGGTGGCGTCCCAGGGGATGGAGACCGGCGCGGCGGGCATGACGGGTGCGGCGGGCGCGGCGGCAGGGGGAGCCGCGTTCTTGCCGATGGCAATTTTCGCAAGCCGGCCCTTGATACCCATGGTGGAGGGCGTGCGAAGCGAGGCGTGCGAAGCGAGGCGTGTGAAGCGAGGCGGGCGGCGCGTGAAGCGGCGCGAGGGGTGAGGAGGAGGTTGGGATGGGAGGAGGCGGGGGCGGGTGGTCAGGCGAGAAGTTTGCGTGCGGTTCACTTGAGACTGTTGGAAGGGACAGAGGTGGGGGGATGGGGAGCGGCGTTTCGGTAGATGCAGGAAGTCTTGGGAAAATATAAATGTGTTGGAAGGAGTGACGTCAACGTTGACAGGGACGTTGGGAGTTGTGACAGTAGCAATGAGTGTCAAAATTGCCGGCCGCGGCCCGTTTTCGTGCCTCACTCTTCCTCCGCCAGCAATGACACTCACAGACGCCAACAATGAGCTCATTTCTCTCTCCCCACTACCTCTTCGGCTCACTGAGCTATTTCGGAGTGGTCTCCAACATTGGATCACTGATATTACACGTGTGTAAGTATCACTTTCAACTTGAAAGTGATACACGTACTTATACACGTGTAATATCGAAAGTTTCAACTGCAACCAGTCAGTGACCAAACCTTTTTTATTCTGCAATTTGGGAATATGATAAAATTTGTGTGTGACCACTTGTTCGAAACTCCCCGAAAAACCTGCCCTAATTACATCGTCGACGTCGCTTTTCTCGCCTTTCTTGATCCCTCTCCTTTGATTTGAAGTGTTTCGTTTCTCAAAGCGACGACAACCCCCCCACATGATGCAATCGATCATTCGTCGTGTCTGCAACTGTCCATCCGAAATTTAAGGAGATCTGCTTCGTAATGAATAATGTGGAGAGGGTATCAGCCGACCCTCACATTCTTGGCAATGGGACTGTTACTCCGTGCTTTGCCTGTAGTCTTTGTCACCCACAGAAACCGACCAAGGCAGTTACACTAACAAATGCCAAGTTAGAGACATACGCAAGCGTTGATACAGGGGGCATTCTAAACCCGTTTGCCAGGCTCAAACGGACCGGAAACCGGACTATTTCGCTTTGCACTCCTTGTCGTGACAAGCGTTGGGGTTGGAATGTCATTTCGTCTGACAGAAAGTACGGGAAAAACAATGCTGCCCGCGCATTACGTGCATGGCAGACGAGGTGTGCTCCAGATCGGGAAAGGTCAAAAAGAAAAGTATGTCATATATGCTCATCAATAAGGAACGGATCGACTGTGGATGAAGATGTTGTTAGAACCCCGAGCTGTGACTGGACATTATACAACATTATCTCCAGAGAAGACTCCTTACTAAATGACGTGTTTATGATGGAGTTTCGAAGACGCACAGGTTGTGACTTTGAGACCGTGCGGGAATTGGTCGAAGACCCGTCCAAATATTATCTTTGTTACATCCACATCAACCATAGCCGCTATTCTCAAGAGGCTGCGTTCAGAGAAATATCGGAACAGCGATGCACGACAAAAGCACACTGCATTTTCTGGAAAAACGGATGCACACACAAGGACGAGGGAAGAAAGGGTAGACTTTGGCGTATACCTATACATGAAATGGACAATCTTGACACGTTGGAGTCTTTTGCTCAGCTGGAAGAGACTGTATGCTCCCACTCGGCGGATCAGTTTCATGCACGTGATGTCATGGGAAAGTACTGCTGCAGGAGTTGTCTTTACATTATCAACGAAGGCAAAGATTGTAACGCTCCGTTACTTGCACCAAAATCTTTGAGGCTACCAGTTGATCAAACACTTGTCCGACTTGTAATGTTTTCTCTGGAGGGACCCAGCGTTGCCAAACAGTCTATTATTTTTACTGATTCGGACAGGAATGGAATTGGTCTTATTGGGAGAACAATGAGGTCATCTTGCATTTTATCGATAGGCAACTCAGAACACAGCGTCCGAATGCTGCCGTTCCAGGAGGTTGTGCGTGAGCGCAAGTGTCTTCGTGAACCGCCATTATGTACCACTGTGTTGCAGCCACCAAACATTGATGACAGGACATTGCACAAACGAATTGAGCCAGTGCTCGCTCAGAAAGGAATCATTCTGAAGAAAATGAGCTATCGACTCCGTTGCTACATCCACGTAAGTCAGGTTGACAAGTTCCTGTCAGATATTGCTACATCACGCAGCAAAAAACTGATAAATAATGCACGCCCGAGCATGGATGAAATGCGGTCCCATTACGACGCAATAGCTCGGCATTTTGAGGAGCACAAGGGCCGTTTTTGGGCTGGTTCGTGGTCTTTGACTGAAGAAGTGGCCTCTATACCAAGCCCTTTATGGCAGGACGTGATGCTTACAATGGCTTCAGACAGTAGACTGCGAGCATGGAAAGTATGCGCAAGAGTTTTGGGAACGCAGATGTATGAAATGTTTCCCCTTTCAAATTCTCCGGATTGTTTGCCTCATCCATCCATTGAAGAGGAACTGCATAATGGCACTCAATATTCCCGCGCTGATTTATTGCTTTGCGTGAGAGCTCTGAAGGTCATCGAACAAACTGTCCTTTCCAGAACAAAGAGCATTTCCGGTCCCCTGACTATAACGATCTCCGTTAGTGGTATATGTGAAGTGACTCCCTCTTTTATAAGCGTTCTAAATGCCATGGGCGTGTTTCTTTCTTACACAAGTACAGAAAGATACCGTCAGAAGTTAATTGCCGAAAGGGAGCGCTGCGGTCCTTGGCAGCACACTAAATTCGATGAAGTGATAATGCCGGTACTTCAATTCGACAATTGGGACATAAAGCCATTGCACGCTGTCAAGGTTGATGGGAAGTCTATGCCAAAGGTGAATGGGTCGCTACTACAGGGAGTGGTTCCAGGACAGAAAAGAAGACGGGAGAATATCGCCGAACACAGCACGAAACGCCCCCGACTGGATTCTTGGAAGAGTGTGCGTGGGCTGGGATGTCGTGATGCCTTCATTAATAGATTCTCTAGCGTAGAGAACACTATGCTTGTAAAGCAGTTCTCCGACATCGCATTTGGTCTCACCGCTCTGTTCAGGGGTCAATTGGTGGGCCGGAAAGAATCAAACAACAGCGAATATAACAGTCAGACAATTGCGGACATGACCTTCGGTGTGCATGGTGCTCCTTTGAATTTTCGCACCCTACTCCTTTCTGCTTTTAAACCACACGGAGGGAAAGACCCCTCGGATGAGTCTCTGTACGATGAACAGGTTGTTTATGTCGAAATCAGTCGTGACAGCGCTGCTGATATTATTACTGTGCGCAGATTCATTAACCTTGTTAAGGAGCAAATTCGTCCAGGACACCCTGGTCGTCCTAGATACGTTGTTCTGGCAGGTGATCAGCCCTCTTACAAAATGTTCTGCGATTTGTGGCTGGACTCCTGGCGGGAAAGCCGACAGGGAGGTGAGGGCGTGGGGGGTGCAGCTCATACATCTTCGAACTGCAACCTGCCGCTCCATGAATGGTTCATTCCCTTTCCTGGTTTCTTTCACGCAGAAAAACAGATTATGTATTCGTTGAGCAAGGAGATGTTGGACGGCCTCGGTCTGGAAGAGTTAGCAGCGTGCGCGGGACTATCGCCATCTCATGTGTCCAATATTTTAACTAATTCCCATGCACGAAACAACAGAGCCGTACTATTCAATCTGGCTTGTGCGATCATTATTCGTCTCATCGATATGGCAATGGCAGAGGATGCGTCTGTGCGAGAAAAGGTTATCAATTTGCACAGCATATCTTCCCAAAAGCGGGTAAGTGTCGATGGATCGCAGGTTGTTAGAAATCCGTCTCGCACAATGCTTCCTGTAGGTGAGGCAAATCTGACAGGTACCCTGTACTCAGCAACTAGTGATTTAGTTACTGGGGAGGTCATCTCAGTTGGAAACATTCTGCGAGAACATGCACAGAAGACCTTCAAGGGAAGGCCCAATGGTGAGCATTTCGTGCACACTGTGTTGTTCGCCTGCTTACTGCCCACTGTAGGGTTCCATGTGCTCTCTCGAACTGGTCATACGAACTTCACGGATGCATTTTGGTTCAATCACAATGCTATCCTACATTCAACAACACATCTTAAGTACCAGGAGGTGTCTCTATTTTACGCTTTCTTCAGGGGAATTATACCGTCTGCTGTAGAGCAGGAACTTTATAATACGAAGCCTGGTCGCATGGTATTGAAGTTGTTGAGCTTCACTGGTCGCGGGAAGGAAGCACTTGACATGTGGGGGTATTCGTATGTTCATTTGGACGAGCTTCTGGAGATGCTAATTGTAAGGCATCTGAAGAGTCTCAGCGTTAACCTACTAGGACATTTAGAGAATTCTGCTGGCTGGTTGATGCAGGTATCTATGTTCAGGGCACTCGGGCGATACATGACCGGGGCATCGAGGGCTTACGGGCGGAGACGGGAGGCAGACGGTGTAGGAGAGTTGCCAGGACCTTTGGCAGCTTTCGACAGAAACGCATGCCAGTGGCGAACAGTATCTCGCATGTTACACGTTATGCGAGAGGTAGTTTTTCTAAATTTGGAACATCGAGGTGGGGAGTGGCTGACTAATGTGTTCAGCTTTCCTCCAAAACGCATGAATAATCCTATGGACCAGCAAGGCATACTGGACATTGCGAGTACTGGAGAGACAACCGCCAAACTTCATTCCTCCGTCATCTTTCCTGACGTATTCGGGCCTCTCACTGAAGATGAGAGGAAGAAGTATTTCGGGGGGAAAAAGTTTAAGCGATGGACGAGATGCCGGGCCGTGCTGAGACCAGCACAATCAATGCGTAAAAAGGAGGTATTATTGAATTTGCAGATCATGTAGAGCGTAATACGCAGGTGATAACGCAAAGCTCGAACACTCCGAAGCGGGCCACATCAAAAGAGGCCATGTCCAAGTTACTGGCTGAACGCAGACGCAAACTTGAGAAGAAGAAAGAAGCATTTTATGAAGAGGAAAGATGGGCAATATCAGAGGGAAATGTGGATTATTTACGCGAAGTCACAAGCAGAAGAGACGTTTTTCATGGTGAGAGGTATCTGATATCCCCATTTGCGGATTGTCTCCTGGATCACAACGGGAATCTTAACCATGGCGCAAAGGCAAAATTTTTGAGGTACACAGTCCGCGGGAATAGAGAAATTGTCTATCCATTGAACAATGTCAGCAAAAGACTGGAGAACGCATCCAATAACGGACATATTGTTTCGCAGACACTGCATGGGGCCAGTATTCCTGCTTCTTTGACTGTGCAGGTGGATGTCATGAACGCACTACATTATAGGGGAGACACAGGGGTACGCGGGACGTCTTTGCAGGACATCGTTACCGGGAAGATGAAAGCAATTCTGCGTCCGTGGGTTACAGGGCAGAGCGGGAATTGCATCAGGCAGTTGCACTTGCACATTGACGACCCCACGCTCGTAATTCCGCATAAAAAAGCAGAACAGAACCGACGGGATGCCGGCAGACAGAGGAAGCAGGAAGATGGGGACATTTTGGACCGGAACCGGCAACTTGTACGCTTAGAATTTCAGGATGAGCTCAATGTGCCGTGGTCATATTTGCTCAATGACAGGGAATACAAAGACGAATTGGGATCCCTTCATTTGTTTTGCGGAGCCGTTGCAGCCTTCGAGTTGTTCGAACGGAGAGCTCATAATTGCAGTGTCTTTCTACATGGAGGCTCATTTCTCATTCCGACGTCATTTACGCAACGGAAGCCGTGCGAATTCCAACCAGAAAGGGTAGCGATGAATGACCGGGATGACGTTGGTACGGGACGAGTGATATTGCAGCTCGCACGGGAGGGGTTTCTCGATGGCGAGGTGGGTGACATGTTTGCGGTCCCCCGCTCACGATGCCTTGTTTTCCAAACAAGGGGACCAGCTTATGTCGGAAACGTCGACATCCGACATGGTGAATCTGAGACTAGATTTGTTGCAACAATGAATGAATATATATCTCCCTCAATCTCCAGCGTAATTGGGAGTACGACGTCAAGAAGTGATAGAGGCAGCTCCTCTCTCAGTCAGCAGAGAAGCGTTGAATTATGCTGTCAATCAGTCATTCTTTCCAACGACACTGATGTATTTCTCATTCTGCTTTCCAATCCTGACATGTTCGGAAAAGGTTTGGTTCAAATACTATCTGATACAGTGCATGAGGTAGATGCAGCTGTACGTTGCCTGCGCTTCCTTGGCACATCCGGAAAAGTGCGGCAATATTGTACAGTTTAGCTGGATGCGACTTTTCCCCCTCATTCTACGGTATGACACACAACCTTTTCTGGGAAGCCTTCGTTCCATTCCTGCAACATGGCGGCTCCCTTGCTTCTCCTTGGGAAGGTAATGTGGACAATGTCGATAATTTAATTTGCTTCCTATATCTTCTGAAGAGGGGAAAGCGGAAGTTTTGCACAGAGGAAGAACTAAAGCAAACTATGAGAGCAATCGTAGAGGGAGGTGAACAGGATGCACGTAAACTGGCTGATGTTAGGCGGCAGTTCTTCATTTCAAGCAGTCCAGCGGGAACATGGGGATGGAGAGTGGATGTAAGAAACTTTATTGCGGACTGTGCTGCTTATGCTAACGAGCTGCTACCACATCCAACACATTTAAAACTTCATGCCAGGAGAGCTAAATTTATTGCAATGAAGTACTGGGGGCGAGCGAGCGAACGGGACATATCTCCGTCCGTGGTAGGAGGATGTGGGATAGAGAATGGATATGATATGGATGGGTCTATTGCGCTTGAAGAGGAGCAAGCTGTGAAGGATGTTGTGGTCAATATCAAAAACTTCATGACTTGTTGCAGTTGCAAAGGCAATTGCTTGTCTCGCAGATGCTCGTGCTTCAGAAAAAAGGAGCGTTGTATTGGATGCAGGTGCAGCGAAGATCTATGCAAGAACCGTAGGAATGGATATGAATCAGGTCAGAATGCGAGAGTAGTTCAGGAGAGTGGACAAGAAAACCCAATTGCGACAAACCCCACTGTACGAATCATTCAAATTGAGGAGGATGCGGAGAGTGAATTGCAGTCGGATGTTAGCCTGTTGGATGCCCGGCAATCCTCCGCTGGAAGCATGGAGCTCGTACAAGACGACGTGGGAGCACTAATACGATAAGCGACGAAGCTCCCACAAGGATATGCTTGCGGGATAGGATGGCGGTAGATAATGGAATGTGTTTTGTTCATCGGCTAACAATAATGAAAAATGTGCATGCAGTTGAGTAGGATTATCACGACACCTGCCATGTTTGGCAGAAAAAATCTGATTGTGTTCGCGATACTCCGAGATTCCGTTTTTAAACCACACAACGCAAAGGGGAGGCCCTTCCGCACATAATCCACCACTCATGCGGCAGTTTAGACTTGTCTAACGAATAAATGACGAACTACACCTCTTCGTCGAGGGCATTTTCATCAGGGAGATGTCCGCGACATCTGACATGGAAACAGTATGAGCACTCGATGAGCCTAAAATTCAGTTATGTTTTTGATAATCAGGAGTATGGGTCTTTGATACCATACTGCACGATTTGCAGATAATTATTTCACAAATAGGAACAGATCACTCACTGCAACGGCTCCATACAAGCCGGACACACAAACGTCCTAGCTGCTATTAGCCCCCACCCCTTAATCTGGGTCAATCTTTTTAATTTAATGAAAAAACACCTTCTAGTTGGCCTTGCGCTCCACTTTTATTCCAGCAGGTCAACCAATACGTTTCCTATCTTACGTCAAAACGGCGCTTATCAACGTCAAACAGATTGCCCGTGCTGTCCTCGACAGCTATTGGCTGGGTAACCGATCAGGGCTCTCCCTGCCCAATGTATGAATCACGGTTTATCATACAATCCTTAATTTTACTTCAAAGTTTTAGGGCACTCCCGGCGTGCACGGTGCACGCTGACGTGCGGCCCACCTCCGAAAGCCGCAAGATTGTGCACGCGTAGCCTCTCTCATCCCACGGTCTCGAATCCAAACTGTATGATTGATTTGTGCTCGGCGAGTGTCCTCCCTCACACGAATCCGATCTGCAGTCTCTTCCTCACGGGCTGCTCGCTGAGAGACAGCTTCCACCTGGCGGGCAGTCCTCTGCTCCTGCTCTGCTGCTCTAGTTGCCTCCCGTACTCGTAAAATTTCCAATACACCGTCAGTGGTTAATAAAGCCCGAGCCCTTGTATTTAAAGTCCCGTTTTCTAGAACCGCCCCATCACTTCTCAATAAATTTCGAGACGACAAAAAGCTCTCCGACAATTCTTTCAAGGCCTCAAACGCTTCCTCCCTCGACGAATATGCTCCACGGTTGGTGATGTCTCCACAGCGAATGACTTCAGGAATAGCCCTCTTCCATACATCGCACCGCACACCACAACCCTTAAACCCATTCACAATATTTCCGTGTTTAACCTTACTATATGCAGAGTGCAGTAACTCACATACATGTCATTCCGAATTTCAGCAGTAGCAATCAATGACCTGTCATTCAGGGCATTACGTAGATACGTTTGGAACGGGGAAAAAGCTGAGTAGTCCAGTGTCTCGGTTCGGTGGTTTTTGTGAGCGGGAAGAGCCACTACATGGATTTTGTACTCTCGCAAAAGCGATCGCTTTTGCCATACCTCATACAAAGACCTTTCGAAAGGGCTTTGTATGAGGTATGGGCCCCATATCCGTCCATCGTCAAAATTAGATTCCTATGTCTTTCGCGTATCTCTTTTGTCTCAGAGACAAAATTCTCGCAAAACCGCAAGAAGATCTGGGAGTCCATTCCCGCGGGATCTCTGAAGGCGACAAGGGCATTTCCTGGGAGATAACATGCGGGCGAGTCCCGAGTCCCGTCGGGTCGTACTCGGTACTTGGCCCGCTTTCCAGGTAAAATTGTTATCGGTGTCCAGCTGCGTCCGTATGCAACGACTGGCATAATCGTTACGTGGGAAGCATTTCCCGACCACTTCATATCAATGGAATTATTCCGCCCCCTGCTCTCCAGCGCAGCCTTCGCTCTCGCTCTGAACGCTGTTCTGGTAGAGAAGCCGGAATCGTTTAAATTGAAAATTTGAGACCCATGTGTTACCTGAAATTCCCGATACACTTGCTCAAGACGAGCGAAGTGTTCTGCAAAATTTGACGGTGACATGGTGACAGCGCGGTCGCTCTCTAAATTGCAACGTCTTTTCATAGACAACTCTGGATGTCGTCGTAAAAAGCATTGTAGAAACCTGTCACCTGGGCGCAGATTTCGAAAAGGAATCGTTTCCTTGCGTTCTTGTGGAACTCGCTCAACGAAGTGCTGACCTAAATCTTTAAGACATTCACGAGACAATTGCGTTCCGTTTCGCGCGAAGTCCAGCGCGGAGTCGAGGATGGTTTTTTCCTCACGGGCATGGAGAGCCGAGGGTCGGTCTTGAGGGGATGGTGCGTCTTTGGCATTGACAAATCGCTGCAAGGAAGAATAGGGAATGTGATGCAAGCGAGCGGAGGCACGAATGCTTATTTTTTTGATGGTCACAGCGGTCTGTGCAGACCTGAGACACGTGAGTTTGGTAGCCGTGGGGAGGTGGGCAAAGCGCGGGCCGTGGTGCACCACGTTGCGAGGGTGTGGTGAGGGTATTGAGAATGGTGAGGCTACGATAGGGACTTGAGAGTTGCTCTGAGGGACCAAATGAGGGGGTGGTGGTCTTGTGATAGTGAGCTGAGGTACGATAATGGGCGGTCAGATGAAACTTGATGCTCCGAATTCAAAAATCGGATCGGCAGGGCGCGTAGTCCGACCCGTTTTCATAGAAACGCTCATCAATGGAAATTGTTGTATCATAAGGTCATGTTCATCAAACATTTATTGAAAAGTTAGACCCAAGTTAGAGCACTGATTCATGTTTCGGGCGGGGATGATAGTCCTGTGTCACACACTTCGGGTGTGACACATCACTGCGGTGTTTCTGATGAAGCGGCAGTGTTTCCGTGGACAGAACAGGCTTCTGCATTCCTGTATGTCGACATTAAAGACCGAGCAGTTGAGAAGATGTCTCGTTGCAAAGAACTAACGCTTTGAGACTAGAAAAGTCTAGTCGCACTGCTGCACTCTTCTGTCAGCCGCAGTGGTACGCACGAAAATGTGTCTACTGAGAAACTTCCCCAAAAGAGCTGCTGTACGAGCCGATATGTCCATGGTGCACCTAGACTAAACAACAAGGCACGAAGAGCACTATTCTGCCGACTGGTGTACATGAATGAATATCAGAAAGGGAGGTGGGCACAAAGGCCACAAAATTCTAATTTCGTTTACGAGATCTCTCTGATTCGTGCGCTGCGTAATGTCGAGTGACTAAATGCTTTTCAAAGCAACCTAAGAAAGGAAGAGAACAGCAGCAACTTCCGAGTTGGCGAGAGTAGACCTAAAACGATATGCCTTGGCAGGGAGGGTAGCCCCGGGGCACGCCCCCAAAACAGCAGAATTCTAATCCCGGGGGCGCGCGATGAAAGCCTAATGAAAGCAAAGCACAAGAAGTGAAACAAATTCAAGACGAGGCAGCGGGCACAAAGTCGAGAGTTTCTGGTGTGAGTTGCAGATTTCCCTTGTCGCCCAAAAACATTTCCTGGATGATAGAACACTTACACTCAGGGTCAAAGTTTTGGCGGGTAGCCTCTCGAAGCTTGGGAAGGCGAGGCTGAGCCGGAGCAGCCGCAACTACGGCCAGAAGACAGGCAAGGAGGCAGATGGCGAGAGAGAACTTCATAGTGCAGAGGGAAAGAATTTGCTGAAGTGAGAAACGGTTTGCTGTTGGAGATGATTTGCTGTTGCAGGGAAGAGGGATGAGTGGGGAGATTTCGCTTCTCTAACGCAACGGTTTTATACGCGTTTTGGGAAGTTGCTTGGATGCAACATCCCAAAACTGCCGTGCCTATGCTGTAGCCTACAGCATAGGCACGGCAGTACTGCACTGCTTCCATATTGCGTGATCTGCCTAGATCAGTTCATCGCCTGATTTCTTCGAATAGCAAGCAGCCTTTTGTTTTTGTTATTCACACGGGCCCACAAACAATACTCACGCTGTCCTCCTGGAGTTTTACATTCTCTGGAGATGGGCACACCAGACCCGCTATTGTAGACGCTCAGATCTCTTGTGAAACACGCGAACCCCGACTCATACAGTACACATGTAGATGAACAAGCTACGGTATCTGATTGGCCGCGCAGTATGATTGAGAAAGACAATTGGAGGATCAGGGGCGGTGCTCCTTGAGTATACCGCATGATCCGATTTGGTGTCAGTACCACCAGGTCTCTTTCGCTTCACCGCCGCTGGTGCCATCTCTAGCATTTCGTTTCACCATTCCCTCATATGCTAGGAGAGCATATAAGGGGATGGAGATACTGTAGGGTAGGAGAGAGGAAGGAGTGCAAAAAACAGCGAACTAAAGACAACCAGCAGCTAACAGCAAACGATAAAAGGCCCTTTCCCTGCCAAGTGACGTCCCCTTCAGATAACGTCCTACAGGGCTACATCCGCAGATCTCTATTTGCGCCTGTATCCCACATTGCGTAGGCGTGCTCTAGCGTTTTCCCGTCGACGTCTCTACTATGTGGTCCGGTACGCGAGAGATAATGGCATTGGCACTATTCTTGGGCGCATTCTCCCTGGTTGTAAATATATATATATACAGTAATAAAAAATATATATATATTTTTTTTTCATACGCTATATGCACCCCATTCTTGGGGGTCTCAGCACAAACACACCAGTCAAGACCCAACGCCGAATCGAAGGGAGTTTGGATGTAAGACGCAACGCCGAGACGAAGGGAGTTTGGATACGAAACAATGCCTTCATACCTGCTTCCGACTCGTTGTTACGTCATAAAAAATCTGTCTAGCTGTATACCACGCACCTAGAAAGTGCGAAGAGCTGAGATGCAGATGCAAGACAAATAGATACAGTAAAGTTTTACAAGGGTACTGTTACGACTGGTCCTTGATGATCTCGCCACTGGCCGGTCACTTTTGCTTCCCGTGGCCTCGATGCCCTGTTTAAAGTTTACTTCGTGCGCCGGCCTCTCTCCCCTAAATACCCCGGCCATCCAGCCGCCGCCTCCCGGTCCGGCCTACGCTATCCCCTCCTTGTGGCTCGCCTTTCGTGGCTGCGATCGCATTCCTTTCCCTTCATCCTCCTTTTCCCGCTTTTGCGTCGTCTCTCTTTCATTTCGATCCGTCTCCGTACGGTAGGACGTGCGGAGACAGGCCGTCACACTTGCTAGTCCCGTCTCTAACTGACAGCCGTGACTGTAAGTGTCTATTCCCTAACAGTGCTGTAGAGTACAGAACGAATGCTGTATCTCCATCCTACAAGATACGGAATAAAGCATATATAAGATCAACGAATACCTCCATCCTACATGTACAAGATACGGAGTAAAGCTTATGATCAACAAGATACGGTAGCATTTGCGCAAATAGAAATTGAAATAAAGTGGGACAAGATGCGGTGAAGCACAGTGCTGTAGGGCAGGCCTGGACGCTTTGAGAGATAAATCGCAGGGATTGCTCAGCAAGTAACTTTGGAGTAGCTCCGGCGTCAATAGCGAGAAAGATTTTATGCTAGTTTCTTTGCGTTCGCACTTGTAAATTTCGCTTTTATGTAACAAATGCTATCGATTTAGAAGCTTACAATTCTATAGCCGTAGCCTAGAAATGCGAGAAAGCGATGAAGCTTTGTTCGTGAACTAGCTCAACAAAAAGCATGATAAATGTCAGTAATGAGAGGTTTACACTCATTTCACCACCAAATGATAAATGTATTCTGCCAGCAAGCAGCTACATACTGCAGTACACTGCAAAACGTTTGCGCATAGCTACATAGTTGGAAAATGTAAAACCCTTCTGTTGCGGCGGCTTTGGATTTCTTCGCTATTTCGGTTCTCAAAGTCAGCTGATCACCCGTGCCAGTCAATCATGGAAAATTGTCGGTTGGGAGGTGCCGCCAGGCCCAACTGTACTGCTTGCTGTTGTCCGCTAACAAACGCGAAATTAATGATGTTTTGTCTCTGCTGATAAAACCCCCTCCTAGGGGCCATGCCTGTGCCTCGAGCTAGATTACAGTGCATTACTTCCTGTCTTCTTCTCCCTTCATAGGTTAATGGTTGATGGGATATTACTTCTGACAAATACATATGCTGTATGTTCGTACTTGTTTGTAGGCAGTCAGTGTGTCCATGTGCGCTAATAAATCGGAGTTGAATGACGGTACTTAAGTTGCAAATCATTATCCAGTGTCAGGGCACTTCTAATGTGATGTAAGTTCAAAAATACCAATTCACAGATGACACAGTTCTTGAAGGGAGAGAGTCAGTAAAGGCGATATTCTTACCCCCTATCGCTCCTAATGGACATTATCGCCGGTCCATGGGCCTTTTGTAAACATTTCCGTTTCTTATATCCCCTTCACTAACTCTTTCCTACAAGAGAAACAACGCTGCCGTGACAATCGATTTGTCGAATACAAAGGCACATGAGTTGTTCACACGGGAGACTTGTGCAGCTGCATTTCTCCTCGAATTTGAACTACCCCAGCCTTATTCCGCGAGCGAGACAGTTTCACCCTTACATCGCGTTCTGTGTTCTGGAAGTGTTGCACAAAAAACGACATCAAATGCTTAAATTTTGCCAATGACTTGTGGAGAAGGTACTTCTCATGAAATTGACTGACACGCATTCCTTAGTATTGAGACGCCTCCGTAGGATAACCAGATCAAAAGCCTGGCGGATGGACAAGATGTAGCAGCCCTTCGATGTGGAAAATGGCAATGTTGGTTTAGCAACGAGGGCGATTGAAGGAAGTCAGTCAGTATCCTCAGTGGCCTTCACGAAGTCGCAGAACTTTTTGTATAATGATGAATAATACATATCAACAAGCACTGCTCTGTCAGCGGTAGTGGCAAACACGGAAATGTGTGTACCGAGAAACTTTCTCAAGAGCTGTTGTACTAGCCGATGTGTCGATGTTGCACCAAGTCTGAACGACAATACATGAAGAGCACTATTCCGCTGAGTGGCGTATACGAATGAATCTCAGAAAGGGAGGTGGGCACAACGGCCACAAATTCTAATTTTGTTTACGAGATCTCTCTGGTTCGTGCGCTGCGTAATGTCGGGTGACTAAATGCTTTTCAAAGCAACCTAAGAAAGGAAGAGAACAGCAGCAACTTCCGAGTTGGCGAGAGTAGACCTAAAACGATATGCCTTCGCAGGGAGGGTAGCCCGGGGGTACCCCAAAACAGCAGAATTCTAATCCCGGGGGCGCGCGATGAAGACCTAATGAAAGCAAAGAACAAGAAGTGAAACAAATTCAAGACGAGGCAGCGGGCACAAAGTCGAGAGTTTCTGGTGTGAGTTGCAGATTTCCCTTGTCGCCCAAAAACATTTCCTGGATGATAGAACACTTACACTCAAAGTTTTGGCGGGTAGCCTCTCGAAGCTTGGGAAGGCGAGGCTGAGCCGGAGCAGCCGCAACTACGGCCAGAAGACAGGCAAGGAGGCAGATGGCGAGAGAGAACTTCATAGTGCAGAGGGAAAGAATTTGCTGAAGTGAGAAACGGTTTGCTGTTGGAGACGATTTGCTGTTGCAGGGAAGAGAGGTGAGTGGGAAGATTGTGATTTTGTGGCGCAGCGCAAAGGTTTTATACCCGTTTTGGGAAATTGCACCCAAGCTACAACATAAGCAAGGCACTGTTGCACTGCTTCCACATGGCGTGATCTAGACAGACCTGCACCTTTCCTCGTTCATTAATTACCTTGTACGGTGCTACGGATTCCGTATTGTGCGTTTGTACAATGAGCAGTCTGTCAAGAGTCTTGACAGACTGCTCATTATACATATTATACAGGTGTTGCATCCAATGTGCGTCTTGAGTCAACACGCACATTGGATGCAACACCAAGCCTTTATCAAGAGAGAATTGAGGCACATATGCAATAGTAAGTTCATTGCCGGTTCCCGTCGAATAGCAAGCAAGCAGTCTTCTTTTCACAAGAGCTCGCGGCAGTGCCAATCCTGGCCTCGTGGAGTGTATACGCTCTCATGAGATCAATATCGATTGATTGAGAGCTGTCGAGGTGCAAGACGGTTGAAGATACCACAAGCTGCCATGACTTGCAGGGGTTTGATAGACTTTGGAGGGACGACAAGTTGGTTTATGTGACAAATGGCCAGGGGGATGTCACGCTTGTGGCAAAGGGATCAGAATGAGTTCGATTTGGAGAAATCGGGAACGGCCTGCAACGGCAGATCGTGGGTTGACAAGATTTGCGTACGGCATGCATGTGTGCCCACGCTCAGTCGGATCCGACCGGACCAATTCCAGGCACCAGACTGCAGCTCTTTGGAACGTATCTCGGCGAGTACGAAACGGCTCGCCACCCTCTGTCCCCTTCGAGCACAGTCAGTGTTTTTGCCTGTTAGAGCTTGCTATTAACCGTCTCTCACAAGTTCAGCAAAATCCCGTTTCGTATCCAACAGTCAACTCTCGGCCAAACCCGTAATCCAGAAGGGCGCCGAGCTAACGCATGTGGGGCGGGAACGAGCCCGCCTCTGGGCTCGGTTGTCGTGCTTTCAGATGGAAGCACTGCGGTCCAGGAGATCAGGTACGACCTCATCTCCTCACGTGGGTGGAGACCCGCTGGATTGCGTCCCTACGTCCCTACCACATGAAAATCTTCTTCCACAAAATGATAAATCACGAATATGTCAAGCTACTCCGGCCAAGTATGAATGGCATTATCGCTCTGGGACATTCCCGTAAATGTCGACAAATAAGGTACAGCAGGACTATCTCCATGCGAGATGCGAAATATAGAATAATACTGGAGTACAGTACACAGTGGAGCAGGTCTTGATGCAATCTGAGATCCGTCGCAGGGATTGCTGTTGTGCAATAAGCCAATGGGGTCATTTCTAGTGTCTATTATACCGACAGCCTCAATTGAGGTACATAGCCTCAATTGAACGCTATTCACAAGCGCCAAAAAAGGACCGATACGGTACCTATGCACGCTTTTCGCGCCAAAAAACAGCATCAATGCCCCCTTAATAAGCGTGGGACCCTTCCCACATCGCCAATTTTCGAAGTGGTACGCAGCAGTACGTCTTGGAATCAGGCTCGACATTGCGAAACTTTCCCAAAATGACCGCCGCAAAAGACCCACGCCGTCGCATTGGTGCGCAGGTGCACACTAAAGCAACCTGCGTCACCAATGTATCCGAGTGCGCTCGCCTGTACGGAAGCAAGGCAAAAGGCAAACTTCTCAGTGGAACCGTCCAAGAAGTCCTCGTGGACACAATCAAAGGCCGTAGGCAGACCTCTTTGAAGGTGGAATGGACTGTCACAGTCCAACCAACCATTACAACAGCTGTAAAGGCGGTTAAGCTTGTTAACATCAAGCACGGTAGTGCCGAAAGGGTTGTTCGTCCGAGCGCCGAACCTTTGATTCCAGCGAGTCCACCCCAAACTCCAGTCACCCCCGCTACAGCCTCAACTGTAAGCAAGGCAAAAGCATGGGTTAATCAGCAATCCTGGGAACAAGCATCTGAAGACAGCAGCGGCACATCGACACCATCCAAAAGTACCGAACCAGACGCCATTGCACATGATATTCCATGGTACAAAGAGCATGTCACAGCCCCCATTGGTGGGTACTCAGCTCGCAAGTTTTGGACAGTTCGAGCGTGGAATGGAACAAATATATCTGAAGGCGCTGGAATCCAAGACCTTACACCATTCGACTGCTTCATGAGCATGTATCCATTTGAGCACCTCTCGCTTGTGACCGAACTTACCAACGAGAACCTCCTGGGTAAAGGTAATACAGGCATCTCACCGTCGGAAGTGCTTCGGTTTTTTGGGGTCCTTATCCTCATGACACGTTTCGAGTTCGGCAGTAAGCAAGATTTGTGGAGCTCTTTACCTTCATCTAAGTATATACCTGCACCTTCTTTTGGTCGCACGGGGATGTCACGAAATAGATTCTTTGATATATTAAGCAATGTTCGCTTCAGTCGTCAGCCATCGCACCAGGGCAATCTTTCGACAGCACCATTTCGATGGAAACTTGTGGACGACTTTGTGCAGGCTATCAACATGCACAGATTGGAGCGTGTGACGCCTTCTGATCTTATTTGTGTCGATGAGTCCATCTCGAGGTGGTATGGACTAGGAGGTCACTGGATAGACGTGGGACTTCCACAGTATGTGGCAATTGACCGCAAACCCGAGCATGGGTGTGAATTACAAGATGCCTCATGCGGGAGAAGCGGTATTATGATGCGTTTAGAGTTAGTGACAACGGCAGAAGATGAAGCGAAAAAAGAGAATGAGGGAAGCATGTTACATGGAGCTGCAGTCTTGAAACGTCTCGTTTCACCGTGGTCCGGTTCGCATAGAATCGTGTGTGCAGACTCTTATTTTGCAAGTGTTTATGCTGCTGAGATGCTGCTGAAGTTGAACCTCAAGTTTATCGGTGTCGTAAAGACAGCGACAAGGCTGTATCCAATGGATTACCTTTCGAAACAAGAGCTTTCGGAGAGGGGACAGCATATCAGTCTGGTAAGGAAGGGGCCAAACGGAAACAATATGATGATGGCGCTCATGTGGTTGGATAGGAATAGAAGGTATTTTATTTCAACAGCGTCGTGTGCAGAGCAAGGTGACGCCTACCTCCGCAAGCGCTGGAGGCAATTGGAGGGCGGTACAGAAAACGTAGAGGTGCATATACGGCAGCCAAAAGTCTGCGAAATATACTACAGTTGTTGCGCCCAGGTGGATAGACATAATCGCTGCCGTCAAGAAGTTTTGGATATGGAAAAGAAAATTGGGACTCAAAGCTGGCATTTCCGTGTGAACACATCGTTGCTCTCAATTTGTGTAGTAGACAGTTGGTTGCTCTGGAAAGGGGCTCATGGGTCAAGAAAGCACATGAATCAACGGTCGTTTTACGAGGCATTGGCGACAGAGTTAATTGACAACTTTTACGAACGACCATACTTGAGAGGAAGAGGCACGACAGGAGCATCGAAATCACAGAATGAGGCCCCTGCAGGACGACTGACAAGTGGAATCGGAATCCACTTGACTCCGACGAAGCAAAGGCGACGAAAGAGGGATGGAAAAGTTACGGCATATGCTTTGCAAAAAACCTGTAGGGTGTGTAAGATCCACAAGACCACACACCTGTGTTCTGCTTGCAGTGTGAGTGATAATATTGTTTGGCTGTGTCGTGCAGCGAAGGGCAGGGACTGCTTTTCCGTTCATTTAGGTGAAAAACACAATCTAAACAAGTCCCTTCTGGAGAAATCGTGAGGACCTCAATTGAGGATAATTTGTCCCTCAATTGAGGCTCTTGGCCGGTACAATAGACACTAGCCCTTGTCGGCTCTAAAGATAATGATCTGTAGAGCCGAGAAGGGCTAGTGTCTAGGTGACAAATGGCCTCATATGAGGTCACTTTTCAACTTAATTTTTCTCGACTTGTGCTAGCTGAACAAAATGGAAAAAGATACTCTCGCCACCGCAGTTGACTTCTGCGCTGTAGAAGGGTGGAGCTTGGAGAGATCTGCACGTCCTTTCCAGGCTTTTTGAGAATACCTAAAGAAGAAGCTTTTTTAAAGAACATCAAAACGTTTTTTGTTGATATCTTCGAAACCAAAACGCCTGTTTAAAATATCATCCGATTGTTGCCACTATATTAGATTCTTGGTATTTCTGTGTATTCATAACTGCTATCCTGATGTTTT